CAAATAAACCAAAATTACGAATCGGATTGTTTTGCCAATAATTAATTGCATTGATTATATTAAATTCAATGTAACCCCTCTTATTCCAGGCAACCGTACGGCTGTCTAACAACCGTTTCTTCTCTAATAAACAACGAATCAATTAATCGATTAAATGGTATACTTTATAAAAATGCAAACCTCTTCTGTTTGGTCGCAATGGTCTCATGTATTGGTATAACGAAACGGTTAAGCCTTCTTGAGATGACATTTGATAGACTCTGTCGGAAACTTTTAATACAAATTTAATTAATTAACTAATATTTAATCATAAAATAAATCACAATAAATAAAACGGTTGACTCCTTAAGTGGATATCCTTCATATGTTTTCTATGGAAGCTATTAACTTGTACAATTAAAATTTACATTCAACCCATCATTATTCCCACTTAATAAATGTTACAGTATTTATGTAATTCTAATTTTAAATTAATTCAAATTAAATTCTCATTTATTATCATGTATTCTGTGTTATTTCATATTGAGTACGGGAGGTGTTGGAAAGGGTAAAGTTCCATATGATCTCTAACTTCATATAACGTTATAAGATATAAACTTAATGATGAATTGTGGTTAAAATGAAATAATGAAATGACGAGAAACACCTGTATTTCCCATATTATTATTAGCAGTGATTCGTTCGTTCGGCGGATCATTGAATTTAAAAAGGCGTAACTTTGCGGACACAGCCGTCACTACATTACGGGAGTCGACAGATCGCGGGAATGTTATGTCATAATAGAGTTTCATCTCGTTGTCGGCCATTTGGTTCCATCGGATGGGATCCGTATGATTGGGTACAGAACACGACGGATAAAAACTCTGCAACCTTTGGGCAAATATCTCCGACGAAGAGATCTCATTAACTCCGGTCACTGTCTCGAGACGGGTTCGTGTGGTCGGCACAGACACCCGAACCACTCGATTCATCAGATCCTTCTCCTCTTCGCTCAAAGAGCCGGCATTTGTTGCGTTGGGATTACGACCACTGAT